TTTCGATCGTCTATCTCTGAGACTGGGCGTTGGAATGAAGGAGATCACCTAAATGCGTGTGCACCGCACCCCGCGCCCGCCACCGCCTCCCCTTGCCCTTCTCAGCTGTAGTAGGGCTGTTCCACGAAGTACTAATAAAATAGACCATCTGCATGATCATATCTACAGGAAATGGCAACCGGAAATGTTCTTGAGAATTGTGTGCGAAATTTCGGGAATCGCATACTATCGCGCTGGAGCGATGATGATTCAGGCAGTGGTAATGCGCTGGATGACAACAAAAATGGTGTCGATGGGGTCAATGTAAGTGGGGTGCCAGGATCCGCCGAGCTATCGTTTTTGGAAAAGCTCAAAACAATGATTGCAGGTGACTAATGATGCCACTAAATTCTCCGTCTCTGTGGATGTTTCGCCTTTCAAACCTGATGAACTACGGGTCCATATTAATGGACGGGAGCTGATCATCGAAGGAAATCAAGAGAAACAAAGCGACAACGGTTACATTCAGAGGTGGAGGAGCTTAATCAACGTTACTCTGTTACAAAGTTGCGCTCATGCCTGAGCACAGTGGAGAATCGTGGAATCACGGAATCAGGAGAACCGGAGAATCCACGATAAAGATTAGATACGAATCAATGAGTCTCATTTTTCAATTCTTCGATTCTCCAGCGTCGCAGGTATAAATATCGCCACGCTCCCTTGCCGAGATTAAGACGTAGCACACAGTATGTTATGCTGCAACCGTTCCTTCATGGTAAATGGCATAAATGGTTCATTCACTGCGGGACCCTTCCCCTTCAAAATGTTCATCTACTTAGTTCGAACTGTTTGTCGGTCAGTTGGTGGCGATGGCTGGCAAATGACGTCGCGAGTGGCGGTTGGTGCGTAGGTATCGCTCCTGCGCCGGGGAGACGGGCAAGAGAATCGTAATTTGCCGCTTCGCCGCGCGCGGCGATGGGCGCGGCGTTTTCTTACTCGTGTTAACCTGTCGACTGGAGCACCGGACTTCATGTAGACCCCGTCATGATT